GCCCTCCGCGCAGGCGCACGGCGCACTCCTTCGCGGTCCCCCCCTCTTCCCCCGGCCCCAGCGCAATCGCACTGGACTCGGTTCTCCCGCCGCCGCCTTCGCGCAGGTGCGTCGCTCTCCCTCGCCACTTCCACTGCGCCGAATCGCCGCAGCTGCGCAGGCGCCCCCGAGGCTCCCGGGGTTTACTGAGCTGGGGAAGCTCCTTTACGCAGAGCGCGCGTAGGCAGCGCTGACCTTCCCGCTTCCAGCTGCTTGGTCCCGGGCTCTCTGCAGCCGTAGTTGTGCTCCTCCCACCTCACTTTTCTTTTCTTGGTTTCAATCCCTGGTTTTGCTAGCAATTCCTCGTTTCTGTTAAGCGGGAAAGGTGGACTGCATTACCCATGTTTGAAACTGGGTTTGCGCGTTTGGGAAGCAACAAGGGGTTACTCTGCTGGAAAACTTGACATTGCAAGTAAAGGGATTTATACCCTAAGGTTCCACAAGGTTAGTTGCCTAAGTGTCCCTGGATGAAATTAAATTCAAGTGGGCCCTGGAAGGGTCCGTAATAATAATATTTCACATGGTTATTACTCTTCCTTCTATAGAGCGCTTTCACATACCTTGCATCTCTTTCCATTCTGTGGATACTGTTTTTCCACAGTGCTTTAACGACCAAAAAAAAAAACTTCATTATATTGCTTAACCATCCTACTTTGTAATTGTTTATGCGTGTATTTCCTGCACTCGACTGTGAGCTCTTACAGGGTAAACCCACTTTAACCTTTGTGCTTTCAGCTCTGGTGCGTGGAAGAGAGGGACAAAGAAACCCGGAGACTCAGGAAGGTTGGTGGCCCACCTCTTCTTTCCACTATATAATTCTACTTCTAGAAAGGCAAGCGGAAGAGTAGCCATGCAAAGGATCTAGGTAAGCCAGAGTTTTTGGTCTGTTCTCAGAGGTGGTCAGACCAAAAGTCTTCACTCATTCTTCAGGTGTTTGTCCAGAAACTCAAAACAAGATGCTGCCTCAAACTCAAGGCAGCAGCACTTCTCACATTCACATATCACTAATAATAGTTAACATTTGTGTGATCCCTGTTTGTGCTCTGGCACTGTTTTGAATGTTATAGAACATGTGCTATTTCATTTAATCCTCACACCAGCCCTATGAGGTAGGTACTATTATTATCTCTACTTTGTAGATGGAATTTATTGAGGCACAGAATGGTTAAATACCTAGCCCAAATCACACAAGTAAGAGGAGGATCTGGGATTCAAATCTAAGCATCTATGCCAGAGTCTCTACTCTTAACAGTTGTGATACACTCCCTTTCAGTGTATGTGAATTGAGATGCTTAAATATGTGTGTGCTATGTCATGGACTTCAAAAATAGAAACCATAGGTTTTGGGGGGAAAAAGCATTGTCCAATCAAGTGCTTTATCATAGTTCAGATGACTTACAAAGATAGGATTTCCTCATGCCTTTTCCCCCTAGCTTTCTCTCCATTTCAGGATTTAGTTTGTGCATTGATGGTGAACATAGAACAGGTGACAGGTTTATAATGGTGGTCCTGTCTGGAGTAGTTTTCACAGACTCTTACTGTTGCCTGTTCATCTTGGGGCCTTTAGCGGTGAAGAAATGGATCCGCATCAAACTCTTGTTAAAGGACATTTATTTACACCTTGCTTTATTCCAGAAAAAGGGATTTAAGGTAGACTGCGTAAATACGTACGGTAGGATAAATTAAAAATAAGTGCAGAGCGAAATAGGATGAAAGAAAACTGAGAGTGGGAAAAGATAAGATAAAGCCAACAGTTTTATGTGCAAAATGCATGGTATAAGGTCCTATTGGTTCGCTAGGGATAGGTCACAAATATGATTCTAAAATTTCTAGCAACCAAGGAAGACTACAACCAATCAGTAGCAGGTGGAGTAGGTGTTCTGGCTGAGCTGGAACTGGGACTTGAATAGACCAGCTTCTGGAGTTGGATGCCACTTTCCCAAATCTCTTCCATGAGCCTCTTAAATAGTAACAGAATGCTTGAGAACACTTAAACAAGTGTCTGTTTATCCTCCAACTTTCATGGGGTCCGTGAATCCTACGAAAAAGGACTTTGAACCCTGTCCACAATTAGGGTTCAAACACATGCAGACATATTTAATGGACAAGGGACACCCAAAGGAAAGTGGATTTCACGGAGAGAACGTGAGCATCTGAGAGGAAATCACCACAAATGGAGTAGGGTAGGATGAGGCCAGTTTTAGCAGAGTTCTGGGAGTCAGAGGACTTAGAGAATGGTTCTGAGTACTGCCTGCTGCGGCCTGCAGGTGAAGATGCCCCTTCACCACCACCCGCACCGGGTTTTCTAGTGCCTTAGACTCCTGGGAAAGAACAGGCTATCAGAAAAATAAAGAGCTGTATCTCTGGTGGCCTAGCCAACACTTCTGTGGGATCTCCCTCCAAAAATTTATATAAGAATTCTGATTCAGACTTCTTCAGATTTTGAAGTTTGACTAGTGCATGTACTATATATTGTTTAACACCCTAGCAACTTCTGGGGCAGCTCACTACTAACTGAAATATTAATTTTATAAGAGAAAATCAGATGAATATCCATGTCATGTAAGGTAAATAAAGATTACATTTTGTCTCTTATCAGTTCAGGTCAGAGTTGCCATTAAAGTAGCCCCCCCCCTTCTTTTTCAGAAGGAAATGTATTTATTGAAGGAACATTGGAAAACAAAGAAAAAATTAGAAAATCACCTATAATTCCACCAGCCATAGATTAACTGCTTTCCTGTCTAATTTTTGAATATATATTTGTATGTAATTTATATATTTATATATAATATGTAATATTATAATTATAATAAAAGCATATTTGATGTCTTTATTTATAATACATATATAGTGGATGTCCCCTGCTATCTGAGAGTAGAGCGTTCCTATGAAACCTTTCATAAGCTGAAATGACATAAAGCAAAGAAGCAATTACCCTAGGATGCATCTTGCTAACAGACGCACAAAAACTGAGTTAAAGCACAGATGCTTACAGATACAGTTCAGAGTTAAGGTGGCTTGATACTGAGATGTTGAGTATAGTTTAGTTCCCAGGGAACAAGCTTGGCGGTGCCACTCTCACTGCTTGGAGTGAGTGCACACTGCCTCTTTAACAACCACTCTCTGCAAAACTGATTCTAAGTGCTATTTTTACTTTTCACTTTTTTTTCATAAAAATGAAAATCCTCTTTGAATTTTATTCAGTGAGTGAAAAAAGATACGTAGATCTTCTGTGACCTTTGCAATGTTGCATAAAATGACTTTCTAAAGATGGGATAGCTGTATACCTATTTTATAAAATTGGGATCACACTTCACTTCCATCTCATCCTACTTTAAGTGATTTCTTTTGGTGCCACATTTATGTGAAACTCAGTTTTCAAAGTTTATTTGGACTTTAAAATGTGAATAAGAGATTTGAGGACAGAGGAAGAGGTAAGAGTTGGAGATCTGGAGGCTGGAGGAGACAGTGCTGCAGGTGGCAACAACAAGAGGCAGTTGGAGCCTCCAAGAGGTTCAAGGGTAGGTGCGTGCCAAAGAGGGAGAAGCCTCACTTGGCAGGTACTGACACTGAGGAAGCCATTGGCCTGCGTGTGAGCAATGGCCTGTGGGCAGGGTGGGGGTCATCAATTAGGGAAGCCAGCAGCTTAGAAGCAAAGACACAAGAAAGCTGCTGGAGGTATGGGAGATGTTGGTTGGACCACTACAAAAACGTGGTGGGCAGCAGCTTTGTCGAGCACCCGAGCTTAGAGACCAGCAGACTCTAGAGCAGGAGACTGGCAGGCAATAGTTCTGATTGCATGTAGAAAGTTGCCTCCCACTCTTTCTGGACATGTGGCAGGACTCAGGAAGGATCAGGCTAAGGTCCTGCTCCTGGTTAGAGCAGGATTATGCATCTAACAGTACTACAGGGCAAACTACTAGCTGGGACTCCCAACCCAGTGGGACTTTAGATGTGATATGAGGGAGCGAGCTTACACTGGCTCAGTACAGCAGATTGTTAAACTTTCAAGAATTTTGCAAGCCTGTTGTTAAAGAGAGACACTTTAAAAACTGAATTATACAGACTTACAAATAAATAAATTATAACAGAAAGAAAGGTAACAATTGCTCAAGACTCATCACATTCTATTTATATTGCTACATTTTACTATTACGATAGTCAAGAGATTGTTAACATATATCTGTATAGTGGAAATACTGTATAATGAAATGCTACTATGCATCTCTTTCCAGTTTCAAGTTCAGTACTATCATATTGGCCATGGTAGGAGTATTGACACCAAGGAAATTAGCACATTCTACAAATCTATGGCTTTTCTACCAGAAAGCTGGTTGTTAAACATTTACCAGCACGCCACTGGGTTTATGGAGATATAACATGTATGTTAATGTCCTTGGGTAATTCCAGAAATGTCTGTGGGGGGAAACTAGACTTCCTGATTATAAGGGACTTGGGGAATCATGATTTAGGGTTTTAATAAAATCATGATCTTATTCATACTTACTAACGGGAAGTGCCTGGGACAGACTAGTGCTCAGAGGAGCCCAACCATCACTATTCTGAGACGAGAGACATGTCCCTATGGATTGTCCTTAGAGAAGGCACTTTGGAACACAGTGAACAGCAGCGTCATGATTCCTTTTAGTAAACACAGCACAGACTTTCATAGGGATATTTTATATGCCTCTCAATTTTGGCCAATGGCCAATATGTTGTGAAAGTGAGTAGGGTTAAGTAGCAAAACGTGGAGGTTGTGGTAGTGATATACAGCTGTTTGCTGCCCTGACTAATCCAGGGTAGGTAATAAATGAATGAATTGACATTCATCAGGCCGTCCTTTCATGAACATGATTCCTCTTAATCAAGTCTTTAATAAGCCTTGAATGACAGTAAGTTCTAAATTTTACTATTACACCTTGAGGGCAGCCATTCTGTATATCCAATGTCATTAGCTTTTGTGTCAGCCTAATTCAAGGATATTGAGAAACCAGACAAGGACACATGCATCAGTAGGAGGCCACCTCTGTCAATGCAGAGCCAGGCCTAGGTATACATCCAGGCAGGGCCAAGATTTTCTCTTAATATTTGGTTTTGGTTTCATTTCAGTACACATATGGGGAATTACCAAGCACCAAAGTTATCAGCTAAGTCATAAGGTGTGTCCTCAGTCATTTTAGCTCCCCAAATTAAAAAGCCAGGTATAACTAAGTGCGTCTTTCCCTGCTCTTGACCAATAACTTCTCCCTCCCCCACTTCTAACTCCCCCAACCACACACACACACACACACGCACGCATGCACGCACGCACGCACGCGCTCAGTGGAGCATTGTCTCTTAAGGTAACTCTTTAGTATGTCCTTCAGATAAAATGATCACAAAATAAGTGCCTAGTGATTGAAGAAGTTAACTGGCTGTATAGAACTGTTAACTATAAGGCAATTAAAGTTGAGTGGGCAGTTATCACAAAGGATGACTAATTTTTGAAGAGTTGATCTGTGGCTCTTCTTTCTTTTTCTTGCAGTTAGATGACAGGGCCAGCTATCTAATTAAGTCGCTCCCAGTTTGTTACAATAAAACAGTATCATCTACATATATGGATTGTTTCTCTTTCAATGCTCTTCCATCCTGCCCATTCAAAGATAGTCAAGAAATAACTAAATATGTTTGTTGGTGAAGAAAAGAACATCAAATGGGAAAGTTTGTTTCAAATAAAACTATTTAAATACCTTGTTTCTAATAATGGTGGCTCTCCTCATGTAGTATATCCAGATTATGTATGTTACCTTTTCAACTGGAGAAGGTTTACCTCTGAATGGTTTCATAAGTCTCTGTTTCAGTTGGTTTTGGTAAATAAAACAAAGC